CTATTGTTGTATGGACCAGGGCACTGTAGCTAGTGAATACAATTTTTCTTTTGTTTCTACGAAACGATTATTTTCAATATTGTTCAGCGATGTACGTGTTCAAGGATAGCCGTCTTACGTTAAAGATAAGTGGCGATATATTTTCCTCAGCTTGTTCAAATAGTTAATTCCGTTTTTCGATACATCATGTAAGCGAAACCGGTGGCATGCTCATTTTTTCACACAAATTTTGATTTAAAAAAATTAATAGAGCAGGATCGCAGTTCACAGAAGACACGCATAGAGTAGTTATATCACAGCATTTGAATTCATTCAATAAGTTTTTTTTTCATAGAAGGTCTGAAATGAGCAGCGAATACTTCTCTTTTGGTTTTTGTGACGCAAATTTGAGAACAGCTTTTCGTCTAAATACAAATCTACTATGTTTTACGTACCAAACGTACCTGAAACTCTTTTCTATCAGTTGCTTCATGGAAATTCACGAAATATGGATTGGTGAGTTCAGATTTCTTAACAAATCAGCAATTTATGCGAAAAATTGAGCATGCCAACCCTGCAGCCATGCACATATTTTTTTAGCTTTAAAACCCCAACTTGAAAATGCCGTCGGCTACCCCCATATTGTGTCCTGTTTTATTATCCGCACAATTTTGTCAAACCACCACGCGACCAAATACACACGCGACATTCAATGGCTAGAGGAACACGTTAACCTATGCTTTGTCGTTAGTTTATAGGGTTGAAAGCTTCGTGGAGCGCAGACAACAGTGGAACCACGAGGGTAAACGCTCCCATAGTTGTGTGTGCTCCTACATATAGTTGCGATACTGGAATTAATGCTGATTTTCAACATAAACCCAACAAACATTGGAAGCAGAATAAAAGCTTATTCAGGCATAAATATGCTTCTTCAGAAAACAAAAACATATCTTATTAAGCCTTAAATCATCTAAAACTGTGGGAATAGCGTAACATATATTTTTAATTGACTCCAATAACGCAATTTAACATGTTTCAGGCGGTAAGTTTGTTAAAAAGCAGTATTTAAAAAAAATAATTCCTAAAATTGCCTAAACCTATGCACCAATATTTGTGGTAGTGTCCCTATAGTTGCAAGTTCAATAAACATTGTGCGTGTGACCGAAACCAAGAAAGCATTTGGCGCAGTTAATATTTGTACTACTATCTTTCAAAATACAATGTTTAGTATAGAAAAGTGTAGGCTCATTACCTCTGCCTGAAAAGGTGGTAGGTACACGATTCCAAAGATGGAGGAGAATTTATCAACAAAATTCTAGTTTCAACTGTTAAAAACAGAGATAAAAAGCAATAAGTTGGATTTGTGATATGCTGGGAGAAATGATTATTTAATTTTGTAAAAATTAAACAAGTTAGTTTCTCCACTATTGGGTCACTTACCCTACCCTGAATTAATCATCAAGAGGCTTAAGAATTGAATTTCCTTCATTAAGTTCTTAAAGAGACATTGTCGCTGTTTCCGTTTTATTTTCACTCTATATCTATCAGCTCATGCAGTAAAGTTGCTGTCCCCCCTCCCCCGCCAATCCGGTATGGTTAGGCTTTTACTGAGTGGTTGCATTTTTCACAGCCCGTTTAGCCCATTTCCGTTGTTGCTACCCTGTTGTTCTTCCATGGTGTTTTTTTTAGCATTGATCCACTGGTTGCTGGCCGTTCGTTGCTGAGGGTATTTTTGTACCTTGTGACTATTATTTGTTGTTACTGTTGCTTTGGGTCAACATTTAGCCATAAATATACAATCTAGGTGCATCGGCTATTTCTAGTTCGCTGTGCGAGGCTTTGATGCATTTGAATGTCTGATGGAATATTTTGTGATGATGTGATTTGCGTAAATGAGTACACTGAGAAGATGAGTGTATCAAATGCACTAGTACTAGAGCTCTCTTCTTGATTAGCGGCTAAATTTAAATCCGTTCTAAGACCAGTTGAATTGAGAAAACATACGTTTTGAAATTTCTCGGTGAAGAAATTTCAAAACGCAGTTTTTCTCAATTCCGTATTCTCCTTAGAGTTTGAGGACTGTTCAAGTTATAAAACGGACACATACTTTCAGGCCCAAACTTTTTAATTGACTACTTAGCTTAATGCTTTCTTGCTTGGTGTTGACCAGCATGACATAAGAGGTAAAATACCAAAGAATAATACCAAAAAATTACATGCAATATACTTTGTAAATGACAAAAATTGATATTTGGATACCAAAAGAATACCTATGTGGTATTGTTTTGGTATTGCATTATCATAATTTGGTATTGGAATGGTATTGTGGGACATTTTTTTTTTTGGTATTATTTTTTCGGTATCGAAATTTTTGTTCGTGCTTGGGAAGACGTAATGATTTTCGAACCAATTTGAACTGTCAAAAACGAACCAGTTTTTATTGAATCCTGATGAATGTGGGCGTCTTAGTGGAATACCTGTATAATGAGAGAGAGAAGGATTAGTATTTTCCATTTAATTCCACTACTTTATTTGCTTATCCTTGACAGATACGCGTATTTCGTCTACAATGTGCAGACTTTTTCAGTGTCTTGTACTAATACTCGACTAATACTCAGTCGAGTATTAGTACAAGACACTGAAGAAGTCTGCACATTGTAGACGAAATACGCGTATCTGTCAAGGATAAGCAAATAAAGTAGTGGAATTAAATGGAAAATACTAATCCTTCTCTCTCTCAGTTTTTATTGTTATTTTTAAAATGAAACAGATAGGAGATATTGAAATCTGAATGAGAAGTCAACCGTGTATTTTTTTTGTCGGAAATAACTTTGTGATTATGGTACAAATACGTATTTTCTGGTATTATTAAATTATTAAGTTAAATTTAGTTTGAATTCTTATCAATTATCTTATCAAATCAAAAAAAAATATCATAAAAAATCATATGTTTTTCAAACGATATGAATGACTGAATTGATCAGCTTGGATTCAATATCATGGCATTCAAACAAATCGATTGGAAGTTTGAAAAGTATCAGATCCTGAACTTTAACCTTTTCATCATTCACAAGTTGATTATATTAAGTTATAATTTGAAAAAAATTTGCTCAAAGCAAGGAAATATTGATTGATGCGATGTTTCAGGAAGCGAAATAAGCTTCAATTTACCGGTGTAGTGTAGTTGAAAAACTTTGCATAACATCGCATTTCAACTGCTTACGAGAAACAAAAAAAAACGAACAACTAGGTACTGCCGTTACAAGAGATAAATGCACAGCTCATGCACTGATTTGCTTTGTTTATCAACTTGACATAGAGGGATGGCAACCGAGGGGGGACTACGATGTGTCTTCGCCAGACCTAGGTCATTACCAACGTAGTCATCTCAGAAAGAAAGCAGCAGAGTGGTTGTTGCGTGCTGTACCTTAGCATTGTTGACGGTTTCTCCTGCCTTGAGTTGTTACATTCAAAGTAGGAGGTAAGGCATGAATTCATCCGATGCCCCTCCAATTTGTATAAAAAACACAACTTGGTGTTCCCCCATAAATCATTTTCCCCTTCCGATTGAGTATATTAAGCGATAATGGACTCTCCTTTTTCACGTCCATATATACACCGTGTACACCAGTGTGCATTTTGAGGTCCAGCTCCACAGGGAATTGCACGCTTCACTTTTCCGTATTTCCTCAACACCAACGATAAAGTATTATCAATAGTATTGAAACAAATAGATATGACAAAAATATTGATGCAGATATTGACACAAAAAGTTTAATTTCGTGGTTCATATGCATATTTTCCAGGAATGTTGTCATTTGTCTCAGAAAAATACTTCGCTTAGGGTTTTTGATCTAATTCCCGTCCTACTTAGCACAACCCCCACTTGACCTATCTTTTTCGAACGGATATGAACCCAAAAATGATGACTTCCAAATTTATTTAAGTTTTTCATCGTTATACGAATGAAGTCAGATAAAATAGGTTCGTTAGGAGGACTTCTTTTGTTTTGAGAACAATGAGTGTAAATGTTCATACAACGTGCTAGTATAGGTTTTGGTTTGAGGCTTATGAGCTAACGCATCGAAACAAACGCATTATTGATTTGTGAGCGATGGAAGCAATGATATTTTTGATGTTTCTTGCTCGATAGAATGGAAATGGGCGATTTCGACGAAGTAGCGCTCCACCCTAGAACATATTTAGTAAGGAGCACCTGTATTGATGACCTAGCAAAAATATTTTTGAAAACATTAACGTGAACAGATTCATGGACATATTGACAAAATTTTTGTCGTGTCGGCAAGCTAAAGGCAAATTCCGTATAAACTGGCGCGTTTGTTCAAGGCAACAATGAATCGAGTGATGTGCGTTGTCCGAGTTTCGGGGACACTATCGAGTCCCTTTAGTGAACCCCACGCGGCAGAAGTTTTGTCAATATGTCCATTCATGTGTTCACGTCAATGTTTTCAATATTTTTTTTGCTAGGTCATCAATGCAGGGGCTCTTCCATTTTTTTTTTATTCAACCCATAGAATTTCCATTTTTTAAAAATAAGGAAATTTGCTATTGAATTCATTGTTCAGTTCGTTCTTGTTTCATAAATAAGGTTATTATTAACACCTAGAATACTATCACTTTGTTGTCAAAAGTCTCCAGGATCAAACTGACAGAATTCCAAGCAACGAGTTGATCAAAAATTTCAATTCCTACTGAAAAGATAAAAGAAACACGTAGTTTGGTGATGCACCCTTCATCAACCGCTTATGATCGCAAAAAACGAATATGATGTTATTCTGAATAGTGTTTACTTTTTCTATCAGAATGATTATTCTTAATGTTGATCGCTCAGAAAATCCTGGGCTTTATGTGAAGTGATAACCAATTATTATTTAATCATTATGATCTCACTAAGAATCAGATGGCAAGAAATTTTGGGACACAACACCTATTTTAACTTCTATGCAGCGTTTATAACGAAATTTACTCTAATCATATTCTTGTTCTTCCTCTATTTCCAGAATCATTCACGAAAGTGGCTTCACGTCGGAGGACTTCAAACAGTATCGGCCAGTAGTGTATAGCAACACAATCCAGTCTTTAGTGGCAATATTACGGGCGATGCCCAATCTCAGTATCGCATTCGGAAATAATGAACGAGAGGTAAGCTGGTTTTTGCTAATTATAAGACTTAATCCAAGTACATTGATGATTTATTCCGTTCTGGTTCGTAAGTAATCGATACCATCTGTCGCAAAAAGTTATCGCTAATAACGTTTATTTAGCCACAAACTTGAAAGGTTACGCCTGTTGATTTAAACCGTGTTAAAAAGAAAACGGCGGCACTATTGACGTGAACACTGCATTGTGGTTTTTTTTAACCACAAATGTGTTGTTGGTTCAGGCTGCATTCGGTATTCGATTTCGATTGTGCGAATTCGAAACTTTCCATGTGACAGCTTCATCCTCGATTTTAACACGTGGTTAGTCTATGGTTATTTATAAGTCGGCGATGAAGCGCTGCGGTTAGTTGTGTTAAAAAACGAAGGTTAAATAATTTATAAATGCCTACTACTTCTTGACTTTCAAATCACAATTAGAACTATTAGTCTGACTTTACATCTAAATCCATAAGGGGCTTTTGAAAAACTATTGTCCTATAGTTTTACAAATTTCACACATTTTTAATGACAAACATCTGAGATTTGGGTGATTGTGTAATATTGGACATCTTTCACTTAACTAGCTGTTCCTCTTAGTGATGTTAATATACTTACTCCAAGCATTTACTATGTATTTAAACATAACCCCAAAATTTGACAATGCAATTTTTTTCGATACATTTTCCTAAACGTTTGAAATTTTTCAATTTTTGCCTTAAGATTAGATAATATTCGACGAACCCAAAAGTCTGAACGACAGAACTTTGTCTATTGTTTCGATTTTTATGTAAAACAATTTCAAATACTTAAATTATTAAATTGTGTAACCAAATATAAAAATATTGTGAACTAATTCCTGTGAAATGTTGTGGTTCTATCCATCAATGTTTTGATCATTGAAGGGAAACTTTTTGTGTATGTACATCCTGAAGATAAACAACATTTTCAATGAAGGACTTCCAATATTACACATTTGCGAATATCTCAGAAGCTTAATATTAAAACTAAGCAATTCTGAAGAACGACGATATTTTGGTTTTTCCGGAAGTCTTGAAAATTTCAAAACGATTGGATAATAAACAACAGAGATTTAATTATTTTAATGGTAATAAGATTTAAGGGAAGTGGCGCCGGTGGTGTAGTAGTAAGCGTGATTACCTCTCACCCCAGCAGGCCTGGGTTCAATCCCAGTCGGTGCCGCCGGGATGTTCTGAGGCATAACATCTTTGAAAGCCGTTGGTCCCCGGTTCATGAGTTGATGGGTCGATAGGTGTGGTAGCTGCCTCCCTGGCGTCGGTAGCATTGGTGCTCAGCACGAAAACCAAGATCGACAAACAAATAAAAAAAATATTTATGGTGGCTCTATTGTTCTGACACGCACTTGACACGCACTGTATAGTACCGTTCCGATTCAAATTTCGGACGATTCAAATTTCGGACACTTTCATTTTTAATTAAATATTACATCCAGTTAGAAACAAAGTAATAATGTTAGATGATCGTGGAGGGCACTAGTCAAAAAAATTTAAAATTTACAAGACATGTGGATCATATTCGACCGAGATAATCAACTTTTAAAAGTGTCCGAAATTCGAATTTAAGTGTCCGAAATTTGAATCGGCACGGTAAATTAAACAACCTATGAGGGTAAATTTAGTTGAATAGGAACAATAATAACTCAAGTGTCATCAAAACTACCTTTAATATGATTATTTGAGTCATACGCTAATCTAACTAACTATTTCACTTAATTTCAGTGTGACGCGAAAATGGTGTTCGATGTGGTGCAACGGATGCACGATACAGAACCGTTCTCGGAAGATTTACTATTAGCGATGAAAAGACTGTGGTCGGATTCCGGAGTACAGGAATGTTTTTGCCGAAGCAACGAGTACCAGCTTAATGATTCTGCTAAATAGTAAGTAGACTGAATTATACATATTTTGAGAAAAATGGCAAACGAGTTTTCCAAAATGGGGTCAAATGGGATTTCAGATAGTGAAATTAAGAAATGGCTAGACAACAACGTGACTTACACCCTGTTTGTTATCTTCATGTTAACCTTATCTCAATTTATTCCATACGTTTATGTACATAAATATTTTATTACATTCTCCGTACTCTCACTCTGGCGTATGCGCTTTTGTTCATGGACGTGCCGGTATGAACCCTTACATGCTACTGTAGCTATTTTAACTCCTCATTTTCTCTCGTAACGCCACCTGGCACGGCGCCAGAGTACAGTCAGTTATTGCGTTCGGTCAGTTTAAATTTCAGGGGCTTATCGGGTATGTACGTTGGGTTCACCTTGTAGGTTAGCTTTTCATAGTTATACTCTACGTGATACCGCCGGAAAAGCTACAAGTAAACGAAATAAAATAGGTCAGCACACTGTAGATGTTGATCTTTTCCTCGCCGTTGCTAATTACCTTAGACAAAAGAATTTGAAGCTCACACTCGGCAAAGCGTCGTCCAATACAGGTGCGTCGACCGTAACCGAAAGGTAGGCTAACGTACGGGTGAATTTTTTGGCCTGCATGTGGGCATCCGTTGTGTTCCTTCAACTCACCCCGCTTGAGCCACCGTTCGGGTAGGAATCGGTCGGGTTCCGGGAAATACTCCTCCAAATTGGATACAACCAGGTGGGGAAAAATGACATGGGTCTGCAAATATGTTAACACAATGAGAATCCGTACGAAAAGAATATGATTTACCGGTGCCGGTAGAATTTACCGACACCGCATCGTCTAGTGTATTACCCCCTTGGGAATGTGATATCCCCCGATAACGGCATCCGACTGAAGACTTCGCCCATTCCCGATTACAACTGGATACATTCTGTGGGTGGGAGAATGAAAAAAAAGTTGAGTTATGCTGTTTGACATTTGAAACAACCTGTAGTTAAACTTTGAACTCATATTCTCTTCTTTCAAACCCAACAAAAGAAGGGTAGATGCATTAATATACTATCCAACAGTTCTAAGAATATAATAAGGCCATTGCTGTCGTAGGATAAACGCACTTGTAGTGAAGGTATGTTAGTGCAATATGTTCCTATAGTGGCTTATGAATACACCATAAGCCACTATAGGAACACATTGCTCTTACGTACCCCAACTATAGGTGCGTTTACCCTATTCAAATTTGTGCCAGCTAAGATCGCAACGGAGGTGATTGGTGTATTCAAAAAATGCTAAAAAACTTCGACTAATCGCGTCTACCCTTGACTACAGTACTGAGTGAGGGTAGATATTACACCCGATTGCCTGATCAGTAAGCGAAAGAAATACAATGCCGATGGTGACGAGTGCGAATCTCGTTCCGGTCCAGGATATTTTCTTATTGGAAATGTTCGTGACTTCCCCGGGCATAGAGCATTATGTACTTTCCAAATATAATATTTGAATTAGTAGTAGTACCAACGGCTTTATTTAGTTTCCGAAGGAAGACGTGGCCATAGATGTTTCGCTTCAGAAAATTGAAAGAAACTTGAATGTATGTCGTGTGCAAGAAATAAATTTAATTTCAAGTACTTTGAATTTAGCGAAAACTTTGAAATTTTGGATATATTACGACTCATGATTTTCTCCGCCGTTTGTATCTCTCTAGAAACGAAAAATGTTTCACGTATATCACGTTTTACAGATTGTGTACAAAAAATGCATTGTAAACATCGTTAGCGATATTTACAGTGGTAGAAAAATTACATTTACAAACTGTTGCATAATAAAATACATGCATAAGAGATCAAAACCTACTACAGTTGTCATGTCCCGTGTAAATGCGTCATGTTATGTCATGTTGTATTGCCATTTGCACATGTTTGTTTGTTTAGGTTCACCAAAACTACGGGATACGAAAAAATGATACAATTGTTAATGAAAATTAATGAAGGCTGTCAAAGGCTCGTATATTTTTTGGTCTGTCTATTGTCTCATTTCTAATTGCACTATTGAATGTTCCCTGCTAAATTTTGCGTGTTGGTATAAAATTCAAAAATATGTGGAAGTCATTTCTGAATCACTTCTAATAAATTTGAATTCCCAAATAATCGAATAGTCTATTAATATCTGTTTAGGAAAATGTGGCTTTTATACGGTTAAAATAATGTATGGTAACCTTATATTGACCGTATGGAATAGGACAATAAGCGAGCTGAATGAAAATTAGCGAGCCACTTGATAAATGATTCAAAATCTGAACAACATATATGTTCAAAAAGGATATATGTGTTCCTTAACAAACGACCAGATTTTTGTTGGTGAATAGCAAAGCTAGTGTCAGCTCATTTGGTTCGAAAACAACCGAAATAGCTAAGGGTAGATAAAATTACTCACTGCATACTACGGGGGATTCATGGGGCTCGGAGTTTATTTTGTCGAAAGTTGGGCAATAGGATTAGAAACAATATGCAGAAGTTTGAAAATATTTCGTCGGTGAAAATTTAAAAATAAGCACTTTTAAGAATATACCCCGTTCCCACCATAAGAATGATATAAAATATATTTAAAGCTGAAGTTCCAGATTAACAAATAGCGTACATCGATTTTTTTTTTGCTGAAAACCTGTAACATTTTGCTGGATTTTTCCGAGCTGGAAAGTCAGCAATCCTTCAAAATAAAATTGCTTTTTTGGTAGAATATTCCCAGCAATATTCCATTACCATTATGATAACCATTATGATGAAAATTTTCTGATAATTCAACAGTTAAATATGTGCGAAACCGAACTTTTTGTCAGTGCGAACCTCAACCTGAGCTGGGTTTTAAAAACAAACGATCAAACTGACGTTTGTCAGAAAACAAGCAGGCCCAATCTTGATACCCGATCCAGGTTGGAACTGAATAATAAACGAATTCGCTATAAATCTATCAAACATCAATAACTCACCTAAGCGTTTCTTTAATGCAGGCCCGCAGATATGGCATCGTTTCTAGCATTGAAATGGTGAATTTCGTATCCGGCGTCGGTAGGCTGCGCTTGATCTCGTTAAATAAAATTTCCTGTTTGTCCGGATTCTGACTCAGCTGATAGATGGTAGAGGTGGCTGCAACGGATGTCTGCAAAAAAAAAAACAAAGTTTACACACCCGTTAACGAAGAGACACAGAAGCACAGCTAGATAGTGACAACTGGGGTATGGATTTGGATCCGATTGGCTGATTTTCATGTTTAAGGTTGTTTTTTGTTTGTTTTTAATGCGTACAAAATTTCAAATTTAGCACGGCTAATGTTCAACAGGGACTGCAGAAACGAATGAAGAACATGTGAAGAAAAATAAAAATAACACAGATTGCCTGTCTTGTAGTGGTGAATCGCAAAGCATTTATTAGCTCGATTATGACAGGCTGTCACTTGTGCTGATTCACTAGCCTATCGCTCACAAATTGTTATCAGCAGGTTATTATTTTTTCGCAGCTGATTAATATTGATGCATCAATTTCTGACACAAACTTGACCGGTTTGCACCAATTTGGTTAATCAGCATTAGTGTAATCCGGCCATAAGCGATATATTTTGTGGTCCATTGTTGCGATAAGCAGTATTAAATGGAATGTAATCCGATGTTTCACTGTTCAATCAAATTCAGTGACAGAATAAAATTGTATTGCTATGACTTTTTGTATCGTACGGAAATATTACTCAATCATCAAAAAATAAACTGAAGATGTACAGAGCTCTGTGTAACTCTAATTTTTACGATAATTGAGCAATATTTCCGGGAGAAAAAAAGATAGCAATACAATTTAACCCAGTAACTGAGCTAGATTGAACGACCGTGTAAGCACGCGATCAGTCGGATCAAGCAAAGACTCGAACCGAAGATCACTACGACATATTTATTTACGTGCTACACGATCGAATAAATTGCCGCATTCAATACAATCAAAACCGAGTAATACATACCGTGTCGACACCAACCATGATCAAGTCCAATGCAAGCACAGCGGCAATTTTAGGGTTGTTTGTCTTTTGCAGAATCCGTTCGACTATGGAAATGTGCTCTTCGCTTTTGACTTCGGAGCTGTTGTTCATTTTCTCCATTGCGATATTGATATGGCGCATACATAGACTGAAACAGAAGATGGTTAGAATAATAATTGAATTCCTCAACATGCAGCAGAGTATATCTATGGGGGTGTTCAATAGATTCCCTATATGCATTGTTTACGCTATACGTACTCCCTGAAAGTGTCCAGGGCTCCGATGTACTTTTTGTAGGCGTTTGTCTGATATATCCTCCAGATAGGCATCCGCAGCTCAACCTCGGCAACGGTCCAGAAAAAGGCGTTGATGGAGTCGATGATACGTTTCGATTCTTCGTTACCCGTTTTCGAAACACAGCCAAGTCGGGTATCCAGAGCAACACGTCCAATGGCTGGCATGGCAAAAAAAGTGGGGGGTATGAGCAAACATGAAATGGGAAGAAAATTGTTTGGTCAAAAATTGGATTTCATTTAATCAGAGCGGTTTGCTTTTTTGGCTATTTACACTCGAGCGCCCACTTGTAGAGCTCATGGAGGAAATCACCCGGCAGTTCATTGTTCTCGTCCCGCATTTCGTGTATTCTGCAGAGTGCATGTTTGGGAGGGAAACATGAACGAAAGGAAAGAAGAACAGCAATCGATTAATAATTAAACCCAACTTTGGGTGGTGTTCAAATTCTCGCACAGTGGTGTGGAGAGTGCATGTGCTATGAATGCAGGCCGTTGAAACTACCTCATATTTGAGTTCCATTTACTCAAATTCGCAAAAACCTAGGTCACTCATAAACTGACTAAATGCCACTCAATATCAATAAACGTTACTCGAATGTGATTGACATTTTCTCATATTTGAGTAAAATTTTAACTCAGTCTATGAGTGACCTATACGTTTTGGAGAATTAAAGTAAACGGAACTCAAATATGCGGTAGTATCAACGGCCGTGCGGAAGGCAGTGAAGCGAATCCCGAAGGAAATGGTTTGCGATATGTAGACTTTTTACTTTAGTGTTTAGCTACCTGCTACCTACGTTTACCATCCTGGCAAACGGTACACATAGCCATGGAGTATGATAGATAGTAGGTATTCTAGCCAGCGTGTTCTGATTTTGGTTTGACTAGAATATGATGTGGACACTTGTTTGACCAACTGACGTTTGAGACTGTCCGTTATGAACGAAATGGGTGCAGATGATGAGATGGTGTAGGCTAAATGCTAACAAACTGGTACATACCTGGCCATAAAGTCAGTGGAAATTTCGTCAAGGGGAGCGATGTACTTTTTGGCCGTCGTTGGTTGCAACATCACTTGCTGTACCTGAGCGCGGAAGGCATCCCACTTTTCGCCATGCCTATTGAAAACAAGAGAGGATATTATTCTCCTGCCTAATTTGTCCAGACACCAAAAAATTAATATCAAGTTTAAGGTCGTTGCAAAATATTTTACATAACTGGTTGGTATTTTCAGTTTCAATTTGGTCCGACGAACTGTGTGAGCAAAAAATGCAACTACCTATCTGAAACCAGAACTGAAACCAGTTTTTTTTTTCTTTGTCTTGCACGACCATAGTCAACATGTTCCACTTACACTCCGATCAGCCCCATGTTGTCGCCGAAAAAGTCTTTTCGTAGCTTTGACTTGTAGTTTCGAAGCGATGGCATAGCCGGACGGTGTGGTTGAACTTCCTCCTTTTTGAATGTGTCTCGAATCAGATCGGCATCGAATACGAACAGCAAGTCTGGGTGTCCGATTAAGCCACCGACTTTGGCTATTTTGCCAAAGTGTCGGTGCAGATCACACATCACTTTGTCTAGGTCCTCGATGCGGTACTGGCCTGAAACGATTGGGAATAAGAGTATCGAGTTAGTTTTGTTGATTTAGAGTTGATTTTAAAATATGGAATTCGTGAATCACAAACTCAAAATAGAAGAAGATTGTAGCATAGTTTTAATTTTTTTTTTTTTTTGAAAAAGCTGCGGAAATCTTTCGGGTACCTCAACTGCTGTGGTACCTCAACTTACCAGCCAACATAATACGTCATATAAAAAAACGTTAAAATCGCGAGAGAATATTGCATGCAAAAATCTATCTTTATTTAGAGGGATTCCATCCAGAATGAGCTGAAAAAACCTGAAATCGTGCTCGACCATCTTCGATTTGGATGATACTTTGCTCATCTTTTCAGTATGATAGACCAAGTATTTTCCGCAGGAGAGGAGACCCTGTTGACTCAAGGGTAATTTTTTAAATGGGCCTATGTGTTTTTGCACACATACTTTTAAAAAAAAATGTAGTTCGAAAACAGTTGGTTGTAGAAAAAAATTTACTAGAAGGAGTTGTAGGAAACTAATAAGGCTTTATAAAAAAAATATACACAGATTTTTTTTTTCGTTTTTTTACAAAAAAAAATAAAAATAAACCTCAAAATTCAAATAAAAAAAAACGTATTTTTGATTTTTTTTTTATAAAAACTTGAATAGAAAGCAGAAGTTTTGAAAACAACTCCAGGATGGACAAACTTTTTATAAAAAAGTTTTTCTAAGAGCAACTTTTAAGGCATTTTTGAAAATTTCATTATTTTTGGCAAAATGTTCAGTTTGATGTTAGTATATTATTATAAAAATCATTTCAAATGATAGTGCTCATATCTATAAACTTCCTTAATATAACCGTTTTCGAGATATATCAAAATTACTGTCATCAAAATTAATTTTTGGTAGAAAATAAGCCATTTTCATAAGTTAATCGTAATTCTCCATCAGCATTGATAAGTTTAGCAAGATACACATATATTTACCTTCGATTTGTCTTTTGACGATATTGTTTACTATAGTGCGTGGCTAAAAAATAGAGAACAAATCCGTTATAGGGTAATCGCTCCTATAGTTGCGGTACGTTAGAAGCGTTGTGTATTGAGTCTCCATGCACATCTATAGGAACCTAACGCTTCTAACGTACCGCAACTATAGGAGCGTTTCCCCTATCAGTGTTGATTGATAACTATTTTTTAGTAAATGTACAAGGCGTCAACAAGTTTAACTTATATTCTAAATTTCAACATAATTTGCCACTTATACGACGTTTTCCAACATCAGTCGAAACTATTCAAAAAAATGGTATTCAAATTATTGTATTGGTGGAATATTACCAATTCTCAAAAAAAAAACAAACAATTTCTATCGTTCAGGTAAAACGCAATAACTAAAACATTGATAAACTTCCGCTGGCTCTAAACTAATATTTAGGGGCAATTATCGCGAAATTTTTATTTTATTTTGATAGATAGGTGTTGGTTCATTGTTCTGTCACGCACTGTATTGTGCTTTTGTTGTATACGTGTCCATAAATATCTTCCGTTTTAAGTAATTCGAAGCAATCAAACTGCATTGATGAGGGGCGCATATTTTGTGATCACTGGAATTCCTCTCATGTGTTCTTCTCTGCACTTGCACACTGAGTGCATGCAAAAGCAAAGCTCACTCGTTCATTTTACTTTTACGGATACGGATGAATTTAGATTTGTTTCTATTGTCACACTACAGGCCATACTGATCCGATCTAATGTATCAAGTAGCAAAATAATATCAAATCACCGCACTTATCAATTACTACCTTCAATTTTAATAATTTAATTATTGGTATATTCCCAAATCTAACACAACCACTATCAAATTAGGTTATTGCACAGCTGCAATGAGAATTCCTATTTTTAAAAGTTTGATTGGTTTGTTAGACATATTGTGGATTGTGGTTATGGCACATTTCGCAAATTTTGTTAGTCAGGCAACCAACAAGAATAACCCGTCAAAAGCGAGACATTCGAAAAATCAATCCATTTTTTGTAGTTTTTCCAATGAATCTGATTTTATTCTTTCGTTTATAATATTGTGCATTCTGCACCAAAGTAGACTCCTCCGCTGAAAACAACCAATTAAAAATTTTATCAGAATATAGCGGTACATTTTATAAAAGAATATCATACCGATATACAACGGTGATATAATTTTAGTAATTAGTCATTTAATTATTTCTGACCTCAGCAAAAAAAATAATGAAATATTTACAGCGTAGAACTCTACTTTCGTGCAGAATGCGCAATATTAACTAATCGAAACCCTTACATTTTTAACAATATTAGCTATTCTTATCCAAGGATTTATGATTTAAAAACAAATTTGGGACTTTGTACAAGCTCATTTCATACCTTAAATTGCTTAACTCAAAACTTTTCGAAATCAGGAACACTTTTGACCTCCTACTTACTTTGAATAAGAACACGTTTCAACTAAGTCCTGAACATTTCAATTGGAAACATCTCAGGATGTTTAAACAATTATTTTAGAACATAAAATGAAGCATATATTATTATATATTTACAGTCTACTCTCCACAGCTCGATATTTTATACAAACTTAGAAATAACTTATTTAACAATGTGAGGGAAATCATTATCTTCATCCATAAAAAATGGAATGTAAACAAACATGGCATGTGAACATAAATGCTATGAGGCTGATATGCACATAACTCAAAATAAAATAAGCTTAATTGAGCTGAATTCTACGTCTTTTATGGTTCAATTCTTAGGAAGTCTTATATATGTCTGTACGTATCCGTTTCGTTACGCACACACATTCAGTGTATCTCAAAATTGAGCGTTTAGCTTTTTAGAAAACATGTACGATCACAATTTAAAAAGAGAGATTTCTGAATTTTTGGCTGCTGGCTCATCAAACATTTATCGGTTATCGGTATAGTATTGGGCTTATTTAAGAAATTAGAGCAATTTAAAAAAAACAGGCCTTTTTCTAAAAAAAAACACATTTTATTGAAATACAATTAACTTTTCGAAATTTTGCTCATTTGTACTCATAATAAGGATTTTTTACATGTCACTAATTTAAAACAAACCTGTAGTACTTTGCGGAGTAATCGCAAAATACACTATACTGACTTTAAAGTACTTATTTTTCATGGAAAATGGAACTAACTATCTGAGTAAAATGTTACCCATTGATGAGTGATTGTTGCTACACAAATGAGTAGCAGGTATTCATTTGGGGTAACAGCTACTCATTAATGGGTAAAAATGTAATCATTTAATGGGTAGTACCACATTCTTTCGAAAATACGTACAATATAGTAATTATTGAATACTTTATAGTCATTATTAAGTATTTTGTGGTTAGCATGTATTTCATAGTGCAAGATGCAGTGTTACCCTCAAAGAAATTGGTTAATCATTTGAGAAAATTATCGGCTTTGAAATCAATCAATAACTAACACGACAAAAACACTTTTCAAGTTACCTATTGAAGGATGTTAGTCTAGTCGAGTACACCATGAAATCAAATTTGAACTTATTAACACCCCAACATTTAAAGTTATTTCTAACTTTAGACTACATTAGGGTGACCAAAACATGACCTTCCTCCCTCGCCATAATACCACTTGTTCTCTATGCAATCCTGAAGCTTAATTCATAACTTTAGCCAAGTCGGTCAACATGTAGCTATTTGAAGCTATGTTTTCTGAGTTGAAATTTAAAATGTATTTTCAAAGTCGTGTCGCTAGGTGGCGTTGCAAACATCCCAAATAGTGATGTTTGGGAGGTATGCAACGCCAAATCAGTCAGAACAGAACAAATAGTTCACTGGAGGTAATACTGAGTATTCTGAATAATTGCTGCAATATCTCGATCATACACGGCGATACTGACAAAACAACTTTCGTCACACACTCGAACTAAAAATGCTCTTCTTGGTATACCAAGTTAATTGTCATTGACAATGTAGTCAGTGACAAACACGTGCAGTTTTTGTTCTTAGCTAAATGCTACTAAATTACATTAATTAAGGAAAATAAATCCATCCAACCATCATTGTCTTCAACGGTCTGGATAACAACAATGTAAAAAAGAATGCACGAAATTACAATAAATGCTACCATCATCGACGAAAAATTTAATGAAATATTGACGATGTTAAAATAGTTTTGTCAATATCGTGTGAAATCTTTCAATGACAATGACAAAGCTTGGCATTTATTCTGGACCCATCCGAACATGTTCTTGGTGTCCTTGGGGAAATTAACCAAACCTTCAATTTATACCGGATTCGATCATTCATTCATCTATCAAAATAATTTTATTAATACTCATGACGATAGTGGTCACAACAAGAAATGTTTTAGATGTCTCCAGGGAAGTGGCCAAAACCAGATTAGAATCATAACCCGTAATGCGATAAATCAAATCACATGAGGTGTAAATAATTCAATTATTTGGAATATATAGAACTGCATACACGAACAGCATTGTTGGAATTATGGATGTGTGTGTACGTTGTTACTGGTGAAAAAAGACATCGGATATAGATTGGCAGCGGGAGATTTCAAAACCTTTGCATTTTTGCTTCTTGTGTTTTTGCTTATCACGTTCCTACTAGATCTTAATTATGCCTGTCCTCAACTTGAGCTCAGTAACTCATTGAGAGTCAACTATTGCATTTAATACAGCAAAAATCTGTTATTCTTATTGAACTGGATGAGTTCAACCTTTGTCAAAATCTCGTTATTTTTTTCGTCAATGACGAAATATTCACTCGAGGATGAAACATAATTATTAAGTTCAGCGGTTTAATGCATGTTTTGCGCTTTATTTGTTCGGATCCATTAGAAATCTAGCTACCGAGCAATCATGCACGTGGCAATTTATATTCCCTTCATTATCATTTTCATCTCGTGATATGTAGGAAATTACTAAAGGTTATTATACATTGGGTAGTAAGAAAAATGACACCCTAAACTGAGAATATATAGTTTCATACAGTCATA